GGGGGGGGGGGAATCCACTAAAGACCTGGAACTTTTTATTAATGAATCTAAAGAAGAATTAGCAGGTATCGCGTCTTACAGCGACTGCAATAAAGGCGCAAACAGCAAAATCAAGCTCCCAAACTTCAAATAGGCCCTTTTATTTGGCACTGGCTATGGAAATTTTAATAATCTGTTTTTTTGACCTTGTTATGTAATTAACAGTGGTTTCCATTGTAGTGGCTAACTGCAAAATGGTATCATTGGTATTAGGAAATGTTTTCTTACAACAAGATATTCATTGTCTTTGGCTGATCTACAGCTTTGTCCATTGCTGGTGATGCTTAAGGCGAAGGAGCAACAATAACTGTACTGGGTACATAATAAATCACAGAATGTAACGAATGTCATGCCGTGGAAGAAGAAGCAACAAAACTGGATCATCTGAGGTTATGAAAACAAAAAAGGTCCCAGCTTCCGGATGACCAGAATTGGAACATTGCCAAAAAATGTAACATTGTCTACATTATTCTGAAAAACTGAAAGTTCAAAGCAGTGTGTTGTTTGGCAGTAGTTTGTAAGTATCCAAGGGCAATAATTAAAAGGTAATAATGCATTTTTTTTTATTGCTTTTTGCCTATTGACATGTAACAGCGATCGTATTCAGCATTTCTTTTGCATGGCTTTTAGCACCACCCAGTGGTAGCTGTAATTAACAGGATGGGAGAGGAGTCGAGCTGGTGGTAAGGCGGTCAATACAGGGAAGGGTCTCTGAGGAAGCTTTGTTTGTGCTCGTGTGTTGATAGAGGAAGCATCACAGTACAACAATCCTTTGAATCTGTGCTCAAAACACCACAAAAATGGCTTCATCTGTATTCTCAGTTGCATTAACATGTTAGTTTATCCATTTTTTGGGCTTGAGTGCCTCTGATGGTGGTGGTCATTTGTATTATAAATATTTGACTGTTGTAATAACACTTATCTTTTTTCATACTTATGCTTCTGTTGACAGTTTGACAAGTGTTCGTATTTTTCTCATCTATTCTTTGAAGGATGCAATGCTGAAGAATATAATGTTTAAATCAGGTGCACTACATTACCTGTAACAACACCTTTAGCGAAAGCAAATCTTTTAGATTGATGATACTACTCATCAATCTAAAAGAGAACCTAAAACATGGTGTTGGGGGATAACACTACAAAGTGCTGATAGGTTAGCTATCTTTCACCATTTCTAGTTTATTCCAATGAGCACCTGCTTCTCACTACAGTCACGTAGTGAAAATGATTTTGTTTATTCTGGGATGCTGCGGCCTCTAAACTAAACAGAGGATAAACTGGAAAATGCAGTCCAGCCTGAGCTTAACACAACTACTCAGTTTCCCCATTTCTTAACCATCCGTAAGGTTTTCCTCTGTGTGTACTAACTGGATTGTTACATTGCAAAAATTCAGGCCAGCAGACAAGAAAAACAAACAATAATAATAATGAAAGGTGGGTAAATGATAGCTAACAAATATATGTAATTAAAGCAGCTGCTTGATTCTCCTTAGGTGAGTAGAGCATCTCTTTCTTACTTTTCAAACAATACTTTAATTTCTTTTTCAATAAAGGATGTGTGTTTGTGTCTCAGTCGTCTGAAAGCTGGTTTCTTTGCTGGGAAAATAAGAAATGAATACAGAAATGCATTCAAACATTTGCAAACATACAAGGAATTCTTCAACATGGTGTGAACTCACTGAGACAGGTTTTCTGGTACTTTCTTTACTAATCTTGAGGAACACTTCTCCAGGCTGTGTGTTCTTCATCCAGATGATCTCACACTGTTTCTCAAATGTTGAAGTACACACACTGAGGAGGCCCATCCACAACCGACAGTGTTTGTTCTATTGTGTGTTTTTCTATCCAAGCATGATTATACTGTGGAAAAGTTTGGGATCATTGTCACGCTAAAATCTATCATTCCTCCGTTTTTCCTACCTGCTTTCCTTTCATTGAGAATGGCTTCTTCCACTGAGACCATTTCTGATGAGGCTTCGGTAGATCTCTCAGGTCCTGCATCAGGTCTTTGCTGGATTGTTTTTTCCTGTTACTTACAGACATGACATTCAGATACTGTTCATCATCTGCAGATCTTTAACTTAAGTGCCTTCTTTGTGCTTATGATTCATAGGCCAGTGGCTAAACAAACAAAAACAACCTTCTCTTAAAAATGTGTTAAAAGTACAAGGACCGGCCTTTGAAAAAGCAGCCAATGCCCCCCCCCCCCAAAAAAAAAAAACTTTAAAAGACCTTTGCAAGTGGGTCAAAACCTTTGCACAATGCTGCAAAACAAAGTCATGGTCAATAAATCCTCAGGAAGGCTGCAACAAGTGTTTAGCGACACTAGAGGGCACCAGAGGGCAAGATGATCTTCCAGTTTATCACACCTTTCATCAGTCTTTGAAATGAACACATAACACAGCTTATTGTAAAGAGGTCAAACACATAAGACAGAACAAAGGGTGTTTTGAAATGATTTTTTTAAAATCCATATTCCACTCTTTATAGTCACACCACCAATCAAATCCAATGTTAGTCTCAAACAAACACGTTTTGTTATAATACAACTCTAATAAGCTTTAAAAAGATGGCACCATCAAATAGAAGGGGAACATGATTAGGCAGGAGAGTGTTGTCACATATATTTATAACAAAAATATTTCCTTTTAATTAAGATAGTTCTATTTCATATACTCTAAGGATAGAATCAAATTTTCCCTCTCACATATCAGGGCCTTACTTTTGGGGAGTGCTATCTTGAAAGTGTTGCATAGTTGAGGAGACAAATGTAGGGTGGTGGGAGGGGAGGGGGGGGGTCTTAATTTAAAACGACACACGGGGAGTAAAAAGCTTTTCGTTTGATGCAGAGTGCGGGATAAAAAAATACTCTCTTCTGAATACTGTTATGGGATTGTAGTGGCTCTAAAGCCACATGTAATAAAGAAAATGAAAAGTGTGAAACCTGCGGCCTTGAAGCTTGTGTACTGGGATGTAGGTGTAGAACGCTAACTGCAAGCATTTTAGTAACAAAAACAAAACCTGTGCAAACATAACTCAAAAGAATAAGATCCACAGCAATCCTATGTGATGATCTCCCACGCGGTTTTATAAACACAGGGGAAAAGCTTGTGTCTCTCAGATTGTATCCATTTTTAAAAAAAGAAAGAAAGAAAAAGTGCCGCTCAGTGACCATCATTCAGAGTAAAACAACAACATATACTCTTGGCAGGCAAACGAAGAACCAGCTTAGCTTAAAAATACTGACTTTCTAGCTTATGAGCTTATTAAAGCTCCAATTGTAAAACCTGATAAACCTAACCTTCTGTGTTGGCTTTCCTCCACCGACATGGTGATTTACTTCTTTAGAGATTGTGTTTATAAGAACAGAGTCCTGCAAGGAATCCTTGTCCGACGGTCGCCGAACCTGTTTATTCTGCTCATTCCGAGTGAATGAAAGCTGGATACGTTTTGATTTGCAAAATAAGAAGGGGAATTCCCAACTCAGCTTAAAGTGTCTCAAGATATTGTGCCAAGCATTTTTAAAGCCAGACATTAAAAGAAATGAAGAAAGGGGCACACTATATGAACCGCACCCAGTCTTTGCTGCTGGTTCTGACTTTACAAGCTCCAACCAGGGAGCACACCTGCACTTTCTTCCTTTCCAGCGTTTCCATGCGTACATTCATTTGTCCCTTATATCCTGTATACTCATCTTCATCTGTCCACCCACTGGTTGAGAACATGTAAAAGTTTGTACTGCTCCAAGTCCAAATCCCTAGTAGCGTCTGCAGACCTCTGCTTTGCTTTTAAGTCTTAGTCCAACAAAAGAAAGATCCACAACGCCGACCAGGGTCACCGGAACTCGTAGATTGCTGCACTGTGCTCAGGAACATGGGTGAGGTTCAAAGACTGGTACCTGGTAGGAGATAGTATATGTCAGCATGTATATACATTAGCACCATGTGAGAAATACAGACATAAGAGTGAGAAGGCACATTTTTGTAGGTACAGGCTACAGAGCAGTGCTGCACTTCTGCGACTGCAATATTACAGCCAGACCTATATCAATCACCTATCTGATATTGGCTGGTCGCAAATATATTGGTATTGGCTTCAATTCTGTATAATATGAGGCAATATGAACATTTTTGTATAGGTACAACATACAGAAAGACTGTAAGGCAATGGTGCCAACAACCACACCTCAAAGACTTGGATGTTAGTTTAATTGGTGGCTGTAAATTGACTGTAGGTGTGAATTTGGTGAGATAAAAATGGCTTGGAGACTATTTTGAACAGCAACAGTTAAACTACCACAGAATGCACAAAAACACTAGAGATGGACTAAAAGTGGGGCTAAGTTTGCTTATAACCAGGCAGCATAACCACATAAATTAAACAGACCAAACTGCAGGTTGGACTGTTCTGCTTTGTGTATATAAAATGACACATTTTAAACTGGAGCTGTCTGCTAATTATCTGAGGAGCCACAATTGAGAAAACTTGAGAGAAGCTGACTGAATGAGTTTTCCCCAACTGTTCATTTTCAGCCAGTCTAGGATAAAGCAACTTTTCAGAGGCGAGCCAGCTGGTTAAAGCTCCTAATGCAAGTCAACCTTCAATCACAATAACTTTTAGTGTGCTGCATCACCATTCGGAGCTCCTGTGGTAGTAGTAGCCCTCAATTGTTGCTGTGGATTTCTGGAAGCAGATGTAGTAGAATCCCGCAAAGGAAGCGCCGCTGATGTCCTTAATTGTGTGGTCAGGGACTAAAAACTGTTCCTAAGGCAGGCAGGTGAGAAAAACCAACAAAAAATATAAGAGGCAACCTACTGCAGAATATAGTTAAGTTCACTGTTCGGTAATCGTACCTTCCACCTCATGAAAATATAGTCAGAGTTCTTCAGATCCTCGTAGTCAAAATCGTCAGAGTTGAATGTCTTTGCATACTGGTAGAAGGCCTGGAACTTGCCCTGGACACAAAAAATGTTTACAGAATAGGTCAGAATAAATCAGTCTGATGGAGAATAATTTTTGTAATTTACAAATAAAAGCGGTTTCACCATACCCAGTGCTTACGATCCACATCCTCATCCGCATCCCATTTCCGAGTGAGAAATGGCCGTTTCCTACTGATGATCTCTCCAGCAAAGAAAGTGGTCAGTGTTGGATATTCCTAAAACAACAACGAGAAGCAACTGAAGACACATCTGGTCACTTCTACTCTTTGTAATTAAAAAGAAAGTAACATTAAATGATAACAAACACATCTGTCTACTTAATGTTCAATTATATAAAAGACACTTCTATTCTAAAACACTACAGAAAGTGATCATTTAGAGACTGACAAATAAGAGGTATGTGTAATAAGCCAACACAATGTCACAGCTAGTTCACCACTGCATTCATACAGTGGGAATGTTCTGGATGCTCTGTACAGCAGGAACACAAAGACGTGAGCTGTTACCTAGTAATTACTTCTGTAATAACCGAGGAGACTAATTATAGCATGTACTGCGTTAGCTGTAATTTACTCTGTGAAATAGATTTTAACACACCTCCTGCAGAGATAGTGTTATGGCCATTTTGCTGATAACATCTTATTCACACTATCTTTAAACGTTGCTATTAAGCCATGATTAGTAGTATAACATCCAACAATCAGAAGAAAGTTGAATTAAAATGAACGTGGCCTTCAAGGAAGAAGCAGAGGATGAACTAAAAGCCTAAATATAAGTTTTCAGGAAGTCATTTAACTTGTAACTACAGTCTTGTTTTGACTGTTTGTTTCCTTCTGGTTACGTGTGGCCATTCAAGTTCAACCTGTGATAAACGTTGCCTTTCCCGACACCTAGTGCACACAGCCTCAACACAAACTCAAACTGTCTGTTTGTGAGCTCAAAATGTAGCCTACTGAATAACACATGTTGGGTGTCTTATATCTTCTCTACCATTGCCATGAATCTGTCTGTGGCCGATCCCGACTACCCGCTCATTTCTATAGGTATTAAGGTGTCTTTAAGCTGTTAACAAATTAAAACCTACAGGATTTTAAGAACCTGTGTGACAATCTCAAAACTACTTCTAAGTATTAACCTAACGACATTTTTTATTGATGAGACATGCATGTTAGAACAATGTGTTCGCGACAGGCCAATCAAAAAGGAGCTGCACGGCCACAATAACTGGTGTGATCTGCCTCAGGGGGAGAGTGCAGTCACTGATTCAACTATTTCAAAGAGCACTCAAAGAAAAGGTTCAACAGTTGAAATTAAACTAGAAATGTATATTTTATAGTGACCAGCAAATAAATTAGTAGATGTTTAATGGAAAGTGTGGACAGTATGTGCAAGAAAACCTTTAAAAAATGCAAAAAGCCTTCAAGAAGTAAGCCCTTCTACTCCTTTTGCTAAACAGCTGTACTTACGTTTCCCACTCTGATTTTTTTTTTTTAAACATCAACTGATACTTTGGTTGAAAAGCCCAATAGTCTTTGTGTTGTCTTATGTTATTGCCTTTTTCTCTTGGCACTGTTAGACATGTTTGCTACCACAAAAATAGTCACAACAATTTCCATGACAGCTGTGGCCAGACATGGTATAAATTATTTATGCTCATGCTTTAATGAAGGGAATCACCTCTCTCACCTCTGTTAGTCCTTTTATCTTCAGGTAGCCACATAAGTAGGAATCCTCCATGGTCACATGCTTTAAAAAGAAAGCAAGACATACAATAAACTACATCACATTGACATCAGTTCAGATCAAGTTATGGTTTTACAAAGCCAATGCTAAATATTTAATTTCTAACAGCAACCCCAAATACAAATAATTTTCTACTGAGGTAAATGTTTGTGTAGGCCTTTACACCAATTCTGAATGTCCTTATTAGTATTTATAGTAATAAATTACTTCAGCTGCATTAAAACATTGACAACAAATTTAAAATGTTTGTTTGTATTCAGTCGTGGGCACTGCTACGGGACAGGACAGGCTGATTTTACCACCTGTCAATCATCATGCCGCCCGTTTGACAGATGACCAAATGCCTCTGACATCTCGACTGAATAACGAAATAGCCGCTTCACTGTCCCACCTGCAAAACAACCTCCACGTCATAAGAGTTTCCTTTGCTTTTCTGGTGGCCTCTGAATTTGGAACCGCTGTACAGAAGCGAAGTGACAACACCGGGCTGCTGCGTGTTTATCGGGGGCGGCGGGATAAGTGAGGCCGAGGATGTGAAGGCCGCGGCGGTGGAGTCGCTGAGGTATCCAGCGGGGACAGGCATGGCTCCTGCTTCGCTGACCGGGCACCGACCACGGGCAATTGCCGTCGAGGAGAGGTACTCTGTCGGCGTCTACGAGGAGGTGGCAGAGAGCCGAAGAGGTCCAACAACATTCAAATTCCACTTAATTCCGCTACAGTTCAGTTTACCAGCAATCAAGCTCCCAAAGAAGTGGACTTCGACGCGGTGTTTTAGCGAGAAGTATCCGCCGCTCTTATTGGTCAACTGAGTCTGGCTTTCGAACATCTTCAAAGCTCATTGGTTCGACATGCGGAAGGTTTCGTGGAAATATTTGGGTGTAGTTTTCCAACTGTTGTGTAAGGGTGTGTAGCGCACGTATAGAAGCGCTTTTTAAACTACATTTCCCAAAGAAACTAGAAGCCTCTACGCTGCTGTCAAGCGCCGAAGGTCACACGCGTGTTTTTGAACACAAGAGATGCTTAAGAATTGAGCAGCTGATAAATGGATTAAAAATAAGACTTGATGCTAATAGGAAACTATGCGTGCAGTGCTAACTCTTATTAAATGAGGACGTTTCAGACACAGACATCTCGCAGGTGTGTTTTCTTCTCAGTCAGCCTTACTTAAAAGCATCACATCTTCACATACTTTCCGCTATGCTTAGGTGTATAGTTAGACTTCAGAGTCAGGTTGGGAATGCTTTTTCTCTCAGTAAAGTGTGCCTGAGAAATCAGTACTACGAATGTGTTGCGAGATACTCCGCAGCCACAGCAGGTAAGAGCAATATCCACATTGAATGAAAGCTCCCGTCATCTGCAGAAGATTTGTGTCATTTCACCCTGATGTGGCGTTTTTCTGTTCACCAGAAAGGAAGAGATTTTATCAAGATGTCAGCATATCTCAAAGTGAAGGTATCTGTAGTTTTGTCATTAGTAATCCAGTCAAGTATAGTATTGTAGTAGCAGATTTTCCTGCCCCATCTTTATGATTGTGTCATTCTGGATATCTTGTGAAAAATATCTCTATATAGGTGGTTTATATGAGATAAACCTGGACCAAAGGAAGCTGAAAACTCCAGGAGGGAAGCTGTTCACGGTGCCAAATGAAGCCTTGGCCATCGCTGTTGCAACTGAGTGGGATGCTCAAAGGGACACACTCAAGTTCTACACTATGCACTTGGTAAAGCATTTGACATGGAGTTGTAGCAAAGTAGCCTACTGGTGGCACCTACGTTACATAAAATAATGTTCAGAGAAAAGGAAAATTTGAGAGGAGTTTTATGATTTGATAGGTCCTATTTATAAAAGGAATGTTACCCAGATCTTCCAACAGCTTGCAGGACGTGTACCTTTAAAATAACCTTGCCATGATATTTATACAAAAATTTCACTGTAATATTAATTTTGGGAAACTCTTTCCTCAGACTACCCTGTGCAACACGGCCCTCGACAATCCCACCCAACGCAGCAAAGAACAAATGATCACCGCTGCTCTCAAGTTTCTGGAGACTGACACCATCTGGTATGGCACTTGTTTATTTCTATTTATTTTAGGTTTGTTTAATTTTCTGAAACTTCAAACATAAACTCATATGCAAATGCATGTATATACATCTACATAGTCCATATATCCTGTGAACGCCCATGTGCATTCACAGATCCACGTATGCATCTGATAATTATTTAAATTTGAATTTATACAAAATAAGACAGGAAATAAACTATTTTATGGTATTAATATTCAGTAACACTTATACTCGCCTTTTTCACCTTGGGAAAAAAATGTCCCTTTGCAGAGTGCTATGATACTTTAAGAACAGTTTGATTTGCACTACAGTTAATTGTTGTTTCTTTATAGCTTTAAATATGTATGCTTTCCTGATCATAATTATGATGCTATTCAGGTATTTTCCTTAAACAGTGTCACTTAAATCACAATTAAAGCCAACATTGTGTTGAAAGACAAATATGAAAAATTCTACAATTTGACTTAAAAGGAAAATTATTTTGTTACAGTAGCAGAATAAATGGATAGCTAACTCCTGTACTTGCTTATAAAATCTACTTGTGTTACACTGTTAAATATCACATTTTTAAAGCATTTTCTTCATAGGAGCTACTCATTTGTTCATTTTATTAATAAAAAAAACAGTGTTTTAACACCTATAAAGAGACATTGACACACTGTAGACAAACTTAGCTGGTTATTTTCTGAATTTATGTTTTTTATGTTGCTTAGTTGCCAGCAATTGATTGGAGTTATTGTGACTTTAATGTTGTAGGATTGGTGTTTTGTGTAGTTACAGAGTAGATGAGCCCCATGGTTTAGTCGAGCTGCAGAGGAATGAATGGGACCCTGTGCTGCAGTGGATTGAAAAAAGGTAAGAACAGCTTTAGCTCTTGTTGTACATGCTGCAGTTTTGAAGGTAAAATTTTCGTGTTCTTTTCGGGGTATCCTTTCTTTTCCTAATAACAATAATTAGGTGTAAAAGGCCTCATCTGTGGTGTTCACATTGCTGTACTTAATTCAAAATAGTTAAAGAAAATCTTGTGTATGTTCTCCTTATTTGAATAGTGATTTTTGTAGAAATACAGGCATATAAAGATTTTGTGTAATATTATTAACAGAATGTTACACAGAAGATGTTGTGCAATAACATAAGCCTTAAAATGAGCAGCGTATCTGATTCACATCAGTTCAGTTGTATTTATTTATATAGCTCAATTTGTAACAGTTACCATAAGACACTGTTGTAAGATAAAGACCTTGCAATATTAGAAAGAAACCCCAATAATCATGCCCATTGACTCTTGGCGACCATGGGAAGGAAAAACTCAGTTTAAGAGGAAAAAAACCTCCTGCAGAACCAGGCTCAGGGTGGAGCAGCCACCTGTCATGTCACTACTCCGGTTGTGATATTCAGCAACTGAATGACTTTTCAAGGAACTTTAAAGGCAACCTTATGATAATAATGAGTACAGTATCAATAATAAATAATAATAAATTTGTTGGGATGTTTCTAATTTTAGGAATATTGCACAAATAAATGAAGTCATTCCTACATTTTTGTTTAATGTGCTCACTGAAGCACATGCTGTGATCAACAATGACTCCAAGATTCCTCACAGTGTTACCGAAGGCCAAGTTAAAAACATCTCAATCAAATATCTGGTTACATGTAATGCTTCTAGGACAAAGTAAAAAAAAAAAACACTTCAGTTTTGTCTGAATTTAGAAGCAGAAAATTAGAGTTTGTAATTTAGTAGTTACTTCTTGTCTATAGTTTAACTACTTGATCTGTATCACTAGGGATGGGTATCGTTTAGGTTTTATCCGATACCAGTACCAAACCGGTACTTTTGAAACGGTGCCGGTGCTTAAACGGTGCTCAAACCGGTACACACGAACAACATTAAGCTACTCACGCAGAGAAGAACAGCTGCTGCTGCCATCATCATCCGTCATCATTTCTGCTACACTGGCAGGGCTAGGGGCCAGGACTCTCCTCTTCGGGTTCTTGGGGGATGTTGATAACTCCGGGTCCGATAACAGGCACCACACCCGCAGTAGATGTGCTCGGTGTGAGGTCTCGCAGCAAGCTATCAAATACGGCGCATTTCTCGGCTTTTAAAAAAACGCTATGTGTCGCCAGGTGTTTCATCAGATTTGAGGTGTTACCTCCTTTGCACAGTATCACCTTAAAGCACTTGTTGCAGGCTGCTGAGTTTGCATCTTTTGCTGTGAAGTACAGCCAGACTTTTGACCGCTTCACCTTGGGCATTTTTAATCTGTAGCTCTGTTCTAAAAGAACGTACGTACCTGGGCCCGCCTACTACGCTTGCAAAGGTAAAATGATTGGCTAGAATCTAAAGTGTGTGACATCTCAGGAAAATAAAGCACCGAAATGTGCGCTGCTTCTCGGTCTGGTTACTACCGTTTATGTCAGAACCGGTGCCATAATGGCACCGGATACTAGTACCCATCCCTATGTATCACCTGTATAGATAAATGAATTACTTGCTGTGGGGAGTAAATAAGTAAAGTAATGCAAAAAAGTCAACAGCAATTTCTAGTAATTATTTATTTATTTGAATACCAACCTGGACACTGGCCAGATTTGTTTCATGTTTCTTGACAGGTCTGGACTGTAGCCTGGCCAATTAACCAGTTTACAATCTTGCTACGGAGCCAGGCTGTTAGAGAGTTGATGGTGGTTTCTGAGCGTTTCATTCATAACATGTTTAGTGCTGTGATTTCTGGGAACTTTAAGCCATTTTATGTTGTTCTTTAGCCTTGCGCCATATATGCAGGTATTTCTTCTCTTCTAAGCAGAAAGTTATTTGTGAGAATGTGATATCTTTAGATACTGTAAATCTTTTAAATATGCTATATAACTGAGAAGAAATCCCCCAGCTTCTGAGGTAGGTTGGCACGTTCGTCTGCTCTCTTATCTCCCAATGGCACACCACACCAGATGTTAATTTGGCACAGATCTTAAATGGATGCTGTGATGACACAATACTCCCATTTGTCTGGTGTTGGGAGTGACACTAGGAGTATATTAAGGGTCTCCTTCTGGTCTCGAAGCGGGGATCTTTTGCATGTAAGGCAAATGTGTTAACCACTAGAAAAATTACAACATGTTAAAAGTAGAAATTTGAAAATGAGTGCTGTTTTTTTTGTTGTTTTTTTTTAAAGAACAATATTTTTTAACTCATGTTCAACACTTGATACTTTGTATTTGTTGTATATTTCAGTTAAATCTAAGGAGAAGTGATTCATATTTTACATTCTTTCCAACTTTTTAGCTTTTTCACCAAAGGGCCGATGAGCTTATGCTATGATGAGGTCTGTTCGTCTGTACAGTCATCTACTCACAGTTCACAAGAATCACTATTCCTCCCAGAGTGCTTGTTAGCATTTAATTGCTTGTAATGTTCATAAAATGAGTTTTGTCATCTGTAAATACCCTTCTTCTTCTTCTTCTTCTTCTTCTTCTTCTTCTTCTTCTTCTTCTTCTTTTTTTTTCAAAAATGTAGTCTTCTGAGCATGCTCAGACCACAAAATCATTGCAATTATGTTTTAAAATGATAAATTATAAAAAACAAGCGTGATGATTGAAAACAAGAACTAATAGGATGCCATTTGGCAAATTTCAGATGCTCAATTTTGGATTTCTCCAGTGTAACCTTCATGCACAGTGCTTACAGTTTCACTAAAATCTCACTCCTGATGTGCT